GTAAACATACACACACACACACACATATAGATATATATAAACATCCGCATAAGTTAGTCAGAGTCATGCCTTTCAAGAGCTTTTTATCCGTCTATGATTCCATGCACTACCTATGTATTCACTTGCACCAAACCAAAGTCCAAGTTATCAATACTCGATTTCACGTATTATATACTATACGTGTAACTTGCACACTTCGTTACTAACCATTCCCATCCAATGCGATACTTAATCTACAGCGCAAGTTAGACAATTTACCCGTAGATGAGTTCCAAACGGCACAGGACAATTTGTGGCGAGCGGAGCACGAATATCGCCAGTCTCAAGGATTCTTATGGAGCTGTTCAGGACCCTGTCCGGAATTAAAGGAAGAGGTAAGAAGATCTTGGTCCGTTTTGTACCAACTTTGGACTACATGTAATTTACATCTTAGGTCCAACCAAAATGGTGCTCATAGCGTGTTGCGATTGCGCGTCGTGCTTAGATATACTGCGTCTAGCGATGAGAAAGACCGATAAAATGGGTGTGAGTGCATTGTATAGTTTATTAATGGGAGAGAACACACTATATTGCCTGTTGTATGTTGTACTTGCATTGAGTTTATGCTGACGCCAAAGGGATTGTTATACTGACCACTATATCGCCTGTTGTACTTGCATTGTGTTTATATGTTGATCTTAAAGGGAGTGTTATACTCCAGAAGTGTCTCTATAGAAGAAAAGACTATTACGCCTGTCGCACTTTCTATTCGTGCACACAACTATGGAGTGGGACTTGTAGTATGGCGGTTTTTGTTTACTATAAATTTAGTAAGAGTACGGGATCGTCCATTCTTAAGGTGAATTGAGCTGCGCATTAAAGTGAATACGAAATGGGCCTTTGCCAGTTTAGGGCTCGATTGTTGTATCTATCATTTCCCAGTGCGAGGGCGGGTAGTTTGATTCTTAAGCGAAGATGATGTGGGAACTAATACACAACTTGTTATGCTGGTTTGTTATATTCAGTATCACTTAGCCCTGCAAGAGTTCAATCAGGCGGAGGCCGAATACAACCAAGGGATTAGCGATGCTAAGAGAGAAGTGGGACTATTCTCGTCGTATGGCGTTGAAGGTATTTTCTGTTTTTTTGTATATAGGCATCTCTATAGCTATGTTAACGCTTATATATATATATATATATATATATATAAATATGAATTGAAATATATTTATGTATATATCTGTAGATATCTAAAGCGTCTTTATAACTATATTGTCGTGCATTCTTACATACTAACATACAAACTAACATACCTCCATACATACAAATATAAATACTATTATATTAACACACACACACATATATATATATATATATATGTGTGTGTGTGTGTATTGCGACATATATATATATTTATGTATTATGTATATATATGTGTATATATATATATATATATATATATATATAAAGTTAAGAGTGGCCGGTACCTCATGTCACTTCGCATTGTCACGTGTATGCTAGGCAGTGTTGCTGCTCAATGCACGAGTACATTGTTGTTTTTTAATTAGGTAGTATGTGCATGAGGTGTGCCTGTACGTATTTTCCGGTTCAGCTGATCTCGCATTTGTTCTCGTAAGCGCTCATCGCCTAGCAGAAATATATGGAAATGGGGGTTTTTTTTTTTGACAAAACACTTTGACATCCTTTGCTAATGGAAAATAGTCCCATTGTCTGTGCTTTGTCGTATTACCTGTGACTTGTTGCTTGTGATTAATATGATATTGCTTGCCCATATCGCGTACACGTGTGAGTGTGTTAGCAAGAACGCTGCAAGACCTATCTTGCAATAGGGGCGAGATGATGTGCCTGTGATATTTAGGGAGCACCCTACACACAGATAATCACGTCTAACGCTAGGAAAAAATAGATATTTATATATATATATATATATATATATATATATATTGTTGTATGTTGTATTAGCCAGTTAAACTGTGTCTACTGTGTTGACCTGGACTCGGTTGATACGGCCACGATTGCCCTAAAACTATTGTCCCTTAGACTCCTAATGTTTCTAAGTGCACAAACCTATTAGAAATACGCAGTTGTATAACTATATATCTTTGGACATCGTCGTTCTACGCCCACATACACGAAGATGCCTGTACTCGCATACACATTCACGTCTGCACTTTCATATACATGGACCCATATTTTTAGCAAACTCTTCGTTAACGTGTTTGAGTACATGTAATTAACTTTAAACCAGAAACGAGGAATATGTTTTGGGGAAAGTTCAGCAGCGGTCAGCGATTTGCGAAGCGACAGACTATGTGGTAAGTCAAGGATTATGCATGCCGTAGACATGTGTATAGGCATATATATATATATATATATATATATGTATACGTATTTATGTATATGTATATATGTATATATATATATATATATATATATTTATATATTATATAAATATAGGTATATATATATATATATATATGTATATATTATTTATACATATTATATATCCCGCTGCACTTTTCCCAGTGTTGTCTGTGTATTCACTGATAGTTCTCTGTGTTTTTCATATGCATTGTATTGTAGGGACGCCATGTTCATGGGCATTGGCGCAATGACACGCGACGAGACGATGGGCAGTTACATCCTGCGAGTGGTGATGAACATGATCCTCAACTTCACCATCGGTCTCATTGGAGCACTCATTGGCTTCTGGTGGGGTCTATGGGGTCTCATAAGTAAGTATCTATTTAGTTTCGGTGATGATAATATATATATATATATATATATATGTGTGTGTGTGTGTGTTGTTTTTATACATATATATATATCTGTAACTTTACATATATATATATATATATATATATATATCTTATATATATATATATAATCTATAAAACTTCCACCTCCATACTAAATGTTCTTTTAGAAGTTTTCCATCTGATGACCGTCCTTGTTACTCTACCACCATCAATGTATATGCCTGCATATACTCTATTTCCTCACATATGTCTTACTTATGTCTTGTTGATGTTTAGCGTCGTACGAGTGAGCTTATGACAAGACTACATCTTTGTTACTCTACCATCATCAATGTATATGCCTGCATATACCCCTATATTCTCACATATGTCTTACTAATGTCTTGTTAATGTTTAGCGTCGTACGAGTGAGCTTATGACACTACATCTTTGTTACTCTACCATCTTATATATATGCCTGCATATACCCCTAACCCCTATATTGTCACATGTCTTGCAAGTTTTCTATATAGCGTCGCATGGGCGAGTACGTTGTAGGGTTTGCTCTCTCTCAGCACTCGCGGGTTTGCCTGAGAAATCTAGTCACGCTTATCTCTTACCTATACCACCATCATGGCTCGATTTTCGGACTGGTTAGTGAACTGACTTACGCTATTCCGTCACATATACCACTATCTTCTCACATATACCACTAGATTTAACATATACCACTATTTTCTCACATATGCACAAATATCATTATTTCCTCACATATACCACTATTCTATCACATATACCACTGTTTTCTCACATATGCCACTATTTTTACATATACTACTATTTTCTCACGTATACCACTATTTTCTCACATACACCACTATTCTCTCACAAATACCACTATCCCCTCACATACACCACTATATAAAAAAATCTCATACATCCCCTGTTCCATTCATCGCTTCTCTCAGCGTCGTACCAGGCGAGCACTTGGCAGGGCTTGTTCTTCTTTGTACTCGCGGGTTTGGCTGGGTGGTCGATGGTCTCTGCCACCATTGGCGGCCTGGTCATGGGCACTGCGGGTGTGTTTTGTCACAAATAGTTCTGATTATATTACGAGTGTACAAACGGTTGAGTTGGATGAGTGTTTATGTGTGGATGTATGGATGTATTTATGTATGTATATGTATCTATGTATGTATATATGTATCTGTTTATCTATGAATGTATCCATATAACTATGTACCTGTCTCTATGTATGTTAATATTTATGTATCTAAGTCTCTATGTATGTATGAATATATCTATGTATCTATGTATATATTTGTGTATCTATGTATCTATTTTTCTATCTGGTTGGGCGATGACATCTGACATCATTGCTGGTCTGGTTAAAGATACTGTTGGTGGGGTTCGTCACCACTTACTATTATACGTACATAGCGGGTATTCTGGATGACGTACAAGCATGTATGTATGTATGTATGTATGTATCATCCTATACATGTGCATATCCTACTTGATAGTATGGATGTATTCCTTATTTGTATACATTCATTACTGGGTTATATCTACGTGTGGCTTGTTTGGTTGTACGATGGTTTCTGCCACCATTTACTGAGGACTACAGGTGTGGTTTGTTACCGATATTGGTTTTAGGGTTTTAGGGTTTAGAGTTAGCTTGTTGGCGTACACGGACACTTACTTCCAGATGCTCAGTCAGCCTATCATTGTCTGTTTCGCTCTCCGTTGCCTAGTTACGAATGCGCGTCCAAACCCCCAAAATATAATGTATCTTTTTATACATATCTCACAGAGGATTATAATAATCTTTGCATATGTTGCTGCAAATATCAGACCTTTAGGGGGTGATGGAGCACGTGCTATGTAGCAATCAGACGAAAAATTCACTCTAGATTATATATATATATATATATATATATATATCATTGTACAAGGACGGATTTGTGTTTCACAATCTGCATGTTTTTATATCAACATCATTTGTGCTAGAGTTCTAGTGTATGTTTGAGTAGCCTTTGCTAAACATTCAATGTGTCTCATTTCTTATCGCACAGGATCACTCTACGTGATGCAGAAGATAGCTGCAGCCAATCAGATCGAGGGACAGAGGCGTGGACAGTCCCAGCCCCGTTATGTGAACCAGGGCAGGCCCCATTATGAATGAATAGCACCTATGTAAGGTGCAGGTATATGAATACGAAACGGATGAATATGAGAGACGCCCAGCTCGTAGTTAAGCTCGTATATGAATTATAATAAATATTTAGGACATGTCCGGGAGTTATAGATGCACCTGTATCAATGGTGTATATCCAGGAGACTAGATATGCTGAATTACACGGGTTAGCACGGGTAGCGGATACCCTATATGTCAAACATGGATATTAAGTTGAAGTTCTGTACACATGTCTCAGGACATAGTACAGGCAAAGCTGTTCATCATCCAGTAGGCAACTACATATTGCGTGAAGTAAAATTTTGAACTAATTGTGATTTTGAATTAATTGGGAATAATTAAATTTAACTAACGTTTGTGTATTGCGAACTGAAGCATAGGCCCGAATTGGCATCTAGCTCCAATAAACCTGATTACATTTGTTTAGCCCGATACTACAGTAGAAACATCTAAAACATATATCAAATACTTGATTTACGTACCTTTTTACCCAATACTAAAGTCAAAATATGATGATGGAAGTATAGATGAGCAGGTGCTAGGAGAATACTTGGGGTGGCGACGCTGGGGCTGCTATTTAAACCAAGCTTTACCCCAACGTCAAACTTCGTGATACTATAGTGACACGGGAAGCATTCGTAGTACAGTAGAGAATACTACCGAGGATGCGTGATTCATAGACACATTATGTATTCTATATGTATAAAGTTACTTAAATGTATATGTTTAGAAATCTCCGGGTGAGCGACCACTCGGGAACAGCGAGACATGAGTGTGCTGGAAACCCCAACAATACATCACCCAATCCATTAGAATGGCATCATAGTCAGCGTACCGCAGTATACTGCCATCATAGTGTATAACAACGGAGGCGAACATAGAGGTGACTACCTTAGTTTTAGTTGTTGTGAGTTGTGATTCGTGGACCGCATCTGGCGCACCCTTGTTTAATACTACCATTCGCCAGTCACACTCAGTCACTCACGGACTCACCACTGTCCACCGAGTCTGACCACAGAACATACAATTCCAAAGATGTCAGGAATGGCACCTCTGTTTACAAATATTACTAAAGGTGGTATATTCGAACTCCACAAGTCCATGCGCGAACGAGTGTCAGATAGATTCTAGCTCGTTGGCACCTTGTTACATATATTTTTTGGCAGCATTTCCTACGGTAGAAGAAGATGAAGACGGATGAAGGATAGGTATATGACTGGACGACACATGTTGAACAGGCTACTATCGTTGATTGGACCTTCGAGAATCCCGTTGGTATGTTCGATGGTTTATTTATAAACACATAGATTTGACATTGACATGAGCAACCGTGTCCATCGGCCCTAAAAAACTCGCAGATCACAGTGTGTCGTCGCATTTTTACACAATGTTTTCCCATTTGGGAATTGGCTATTGAAAGCGGATGAACCCCTTTAAACACTGACACGTATGCCTGTCAAATTTATCATAAAACTCACAATGGACGACGGCTGGTTCTGGAGACGGTTGACAAGAATGAAAGAGCGAACTTGCACAATGAGCCGTCACTCAATTTCAATCCAGGACGGAGATATTTATGGCTCGTGTATCTGTACACATTTATAGCGAAGTTTAAACATTAATTTTTGGTAGTCACAATTTTCATACCCAGGATCAATAACCTCTATCTACATCCAGGTATGTCCGAGGACACTATAGCATTAATTAAACATTGGTTTATCAAGTGGGCCACAACACACCGTGCTGTCGCAGTGGTATATTTCGGTTCGAGCGCACGAGACGATGCAACGTTGACCTCCGATATCGATCTGTGCATAGTGCGAAGTTCTGCCTTTGCAATTGCTTATGAATGACTTAACTAAACATGTCCCTGGGAGTCTGGTCATCGTAAGCGAGGACGATATACTCTTGGCTATGCTGAAAGTTAAATCTGCAGACAGTATAGGAGGATATGAAGTGGTTCGTGTAGATCCGTCAGTGATTGAAGATCTAAATTTTGTTCAGAAATGCATTATCGGATCTGATTTGGGCGTGAAAGATCTCAATCGGTCGCTCATGTATGTCGACCAAACATCAGCATTGGGGCTACAGATTGAGCAGTGGTTGAAGCGCACACTACAGAAGCCTCTGGTATATTCATGTGTAAAAGAAGTGCGAGCCAATGTCGTGAAGTTCCTGGAAGTATTCGAGATATGTGCCCACAAGCGTATGGAGCAGGACAGCTTTCAATGCGGTTTCGAGATGTGGATCGCTTACACTGCTCTTGTGAAACTAGAGTATATCCGCCGGGATGGCCGGCATTTCCTCTATCTACCAAAGATGGTATTTGCAGCGTTTCCGGATGATGTACGTTTGGTAATCAATCAGCTCGAGCCAACTGGAGATGCTGACATGGTTGGCCGCTTACTTGAAGCATATCTGAATCAGTTTGTGATGACATACAGTGTACTGTTACGGGAGCCAGCGATACGTACTGTTGTCCAAGATACTGAGGTATGTGTGTTTATCTGATATTCTACTACGCTGAAAGATGTAAATTGTACAGATGATCAGAATCATAATAAGAGGCGATTGTTGTCTCGTGGTAATATTTATTTTAAGATTATCACTAACAGGTATTTGTTATATTTTAATTTACAATCATTTTCTTTACAACTTTACAGATTAATGTTGAGGATAGGTTCCCTGAACTGTCAACCATCGTAGATATCATCACACCCTTGATAGAGAGAGTCCCGCCAGTTGAACAGCAGAGCGCAGATGTATAGATTAGGTGTAACTTTATCCGTTGTACAGACACAATCTATATATATATTGATACAGTAAGCTCGGTGTATTTTCTGTGTCGAATAGATTCAAACTACATATAACATATACTATTTTATTATTGAAGCGAGAGGACGATTATCAATCGTTGCATGATGTATATGTGCGATTTGAGACCCAAACTATCACGATAAAGCAGATGCGTTTTATCATTGAACAGATTCAATCTCTGTATGAATATGTAAAATAGGGCCGACCCACGTTCACATTCAAGATGAATGTATTTTATCTGATGAGCATAATTTTTGTCTCTCTAAATATTTTAAATAAGGATCATTTTTAAATATCTTTGAGGGCTGGAAGACTCTCCAACACAGACTACTGATATCTAAAGTATAGGTGCAATTTGAAACTGAAAGATAATTCCTGTTGGCCAGCCTTGCGAAAACACGCTGAAACGAGATAAACCCCTCTTTCAGTAGCGAACTCGTTATATATTGAAGGAAGATATAGAAGTTAAAGAAGTATATATACTTATTCTTCACATAGGTATTAATGTACTACTTCAATCGAGAAATATCGCTGATAGACACCAGACCATCTTCACGCTTCGGAAAGTGTCTATAATAGTGCAGTTATAATGGTATGTATTTGTTGATATTTATTAGCGTATTATTATCGCGGGTTTGCATATCTGCATTCTGCTCTTGTGTGTGTCTGAATCGTCTGACTGTCTGCACTTATTACTACTCACTACTCAGCGTATTACCATATACCAGACCCCTTTGTGAGTTTGTGGAACAGGAAAAGTGGACATCAAGTCATCAACAATTGAATAAATATGCAATCCGATTATTTTTTTAATTAAAAAAACAAAACAAAACTCTGACTCCGAGAAAAAAAAGGTTTTTGTTCCAAAATAAACCCTTTGAGTGGCTGGGCCTGAGTCTCCCTAAAGCCAAGCCCCCGCGCGGCTCAGCTGAGCCCTGAAAAGTGCTGGGCTGGTTTAAGACAGCAGTTTTTGTTATGACGACATATAAATACCGTCGGAAACTACTTCACTATGACGACATGTCCTGGCATCACGTCTTTTATTACAGTTAGATGTCTTATGTACGTCATGATATTCTCCGAAGAAGACAAATCGCGACGGGTCGGAAACTAGTTTTCTAAAAAGACAAGTCTTTGTCGTATACCAGGCCAGGAAAAGGGAAAGCACCAACCCGCAATATATTTATTCGGAAAAAATAATTGTCAAAAGTGAAAAGACGACCGCTATTTATATTTAACCACGGACCAGTAAATATACAATACAAAATATAAATATTATTTATTTTTTGAAAAATATCGAATTTTTCGAATACATATTTATTTTAAAACATACTGTATGATTGTTTGTATGTGTATGTATTTGCATACAATTTGACATTTTTACCTTTTCTGTTTTTTTGAAAGAAACCGAACGGTGGACCATTTTTTTAACGGATTGAGGTCTGAGTCCCTGAGCCTCTGAAGTCGGAGTCTGGTGAGCCTATTTATGGTTTTGGTGATATACTTGTTATAAAAAAAATCGTTTTCGGGCTGTTTTTTTTTAAACTTAATATTGTATGATGTTTTAGAGAGCATAAGCACCCAGTCTGTTGCTTCGTATCTTATTGGTCAACAGACGACGTGGCCAAAAAAATACGAAATGCCACAGACATTCAAAAAAAGCGGAATTTTATAGTCTCCTTCTAAAAATGAACATTTTTTCTATTTCAAGTTTCGAAGGTATATATACTATA